GAACTCCGCGGTTCCTATTAGATCTATTAGATGTCTAGGCAACACAATTAAATCCTAGACCAGAACTCTCCGCTTTCTCTCAGCAGAGCATACCTCTATCATGAAAATTGGAAATTTTTTCACCAATTTTAGAAATATTCAAAAAAATATTAAATGTTGGGTCTAGACATGGGAACTCCGCGGTTCCAATTAGATCTATTAGATGTCTAGGCAATACAATTAAATCCTAGACCAGAACTCTTCGCTTTCTCTCAGCAGAGCATACCTCTATCATGAAAATTGGAAATTTTTTCACCAATTTTAGAAATATTCAAAAAAATATTAAATGTTGGGTCTAGACATGGGAACTCCACGGTTCCAATCAGATCTATTAGATGTCTAGGCAACACAATTAAATCCTAGACCAGAACTCTCCGCTTTCTCTCAGCAGAGCATACCTCTATGATGAAAATTGGAAATTTTTTAACTTATTTTAGAAAAATTAAAAAAAAATTAAATGTTGGGTCTAGACATGGGAACTCCACGGTTCCTATTAGATCTATTAGATGTCTAGGCAACACAATTAAATTCCTAGACCAGAACTCTCCGCTTTCTCTCAGCAGAGCATACCTCTATCATGAAAATTGGAAATTTTTTCACCAATTTTAGAAATATTCAAAAAAATATTAAATGTTGGGTCTAGACATGGGAACTCCGCGGTTCCAATTAGATCTATTAGATGTCTAGGCAATACAATTAAATCCTAGACCAGAACTCTTCGCTTTCTCTCAGCAGAGCATACCTCTATCATGAAAATTGGAAATTTTTTCACCAATTTTAGAAATATTCAAAAAAATATTAAATGTTGGGTCTAGACATGGGAACTCCGCGGTTCCTATTAGATCTATTAGATGTCTAGGCAATACAATTAAATCCTAGACCAGAACTCTTCGCTTTCTCTCAGCAGAGCATACCTCTATCATGAAAATTGGAAATTTTTTCACCAATTTTAGAAATATTCAAAAAAATATTAAATGTTGGGTCTAGACATGGGAACTCCGCGGTTCCAATTAGATCTATTAGATGTCTAGGCAATACAATTAAATCCTAGACCAGAACTCTTCGCTTTCTCTCAGCAGAGCATACCTCTATCATGAAAATTGGAAATTTTTTCACCAATTTTAGAAATATTCAAAAAAATATTAAATGTTGGGTCTAGACATGGGAACTCCACGGTTCCAATCAGATCTATTAGATGTCTAGGCAACACAATTAAATCCTAGACCAGAACTCTCCGCTTTCTCTCAGCAGAGCATACCTCTATGATGAAAATTGGAAATTTTTTAACTTATTTTAGAAAAATTAAAAAAAAATTAAATGTTGGGTCTAGACATGGGAACTCCGCGGTTCCTATTAGATCTATTAGATGTCTAGGCAACACAATTAAATCCTAGACCAGAACTCTCCGCTTTCTCTCAGCAGAGCATACCTCTATCATGAAAATTGGAAATTTTTTCACCAATTTTAGAAATATTCAAAAAAATATTAAATGTTGGGTCTAGACATGGGAACTCCGCGGTTCCAATTAGATCTATTAGATGTCTAGGCAATACAATTAAATCCTAGACCAGAACTCTTCGCTTTCTCTCAGCAGAGCATACCTCTATCATGAAAATTGGAAATTTTTTCACCAATTTTAGAAATATTCAAAAAAATATTAAATGTTGGGTCTAGACATGGGAACTCCACGGTTTCTATTAGATCTATTAGATGTCTAGGCAATACAATTAAATCCTAGACCAGAACTCTTCGCTTTCTCTCAGCAGAGCATACCTCTATCATGAAAATTGGAAATTTTTTTCACCAATTTTAGAAATATTCAAAAAAATATTAAATGTTGGGTCTAGACATGGGAACTCCGCGGTTCCTATTAGATCTATTAGATGTCTAGGCAATACAATTAAATCCTAGACCAGAACTCTTCGCTTTCTCTCAGCAGAGCATACCTCTATGATGAAAATTGGCAATTTTTTAACTTATTTTAGAAAAATTCAAAAAAATATTAAATGTTGGGTCTAGACATGGGAACTCCGCGGTTCCTATTAGATCTATTAGATATCTAGGCAACACAATTAAAACCTAGACCAGAACTCTTCGCTTTCTCTCAGCAGAGCATACCTCTATGATGAAAATTGGCAATTTTTTTCACTTATTTTAGAAAAATTCAAAAAATATTAAATGTTGGGTCTAGACATGGGAACTCCGCGGTTTCTATTAGATCTTTTAGATGTCTAGGCATCACAATTAAATCCTAGGCCAGAACTCTTCGCTTTCTCTTAGCTGAGCATACCTCTATGATGAAAATTGGCAATTTTTTAACTTATTTTAGAAAAATTCAAAAAAAAATTAAATGTTGGGTCTAGACATGGGAACTCCGTGGTTCCTATTAGATCTATTAGATGTCTAGGCAATACAATTAAATCCTAGACCAGAACTCTTCGCTTTCTCTCAGCAGAGCATACCTCTATGATGAAAAGTGCAGATTTTGAATATATTTTAACAATCAGTAAGAATCATTGAATTTAGATTTGGTCGCATTGTGTGTATATAATTAAATGAGGGCTTATTTTTGTGCGGTCGTTTGTGGTTTGTGTAGTTTTTAGTAAGTCATCATATTTAGACCAATTTTTTCCGGAAAGTGCGTATGTCACGTAATGTTTTATTTCACCATTGAAGTCTATTATTGCCGTTAAAGCATATTGTTTGTTGTCAAGTTTTATGGTTTTTTGAACTGAACCTAATCGTGGAACGGTTTCTTTAGTTTTGCTGTCTTCTGTGTTTAACGATTTCTGAAAAATTGGGTCTGTAAATGCACTTGTATCGATCAGTAAATGAGGTCCGTACTCTAATGTGCAGTTAGTTTTAATTTTGCACTTATAACAGCTTCTAGTCGGTGATAGACAATTTTTAGCTGCTTTTTCAATAAACTGGAGACCATGAGAAATTAATAAAACTATATTAATTGGTAAAAACGTATATTTTATATTATTACTGTAACCACATTTGCACATGGAGCTGCAAACGTAGCTTGGCTCATCTTCAAGAATATACTGACTTAAGTGGGCGACATTTGAATTAGTGTCTAAGTTTTGTATATTTCTTTCAAATTTATATAAATAATAGAGGTATGCTCTGCTGAGAGAAAGCGAAGAGTTCTGGCCTAGGATTTAATTGTGATGCCTAGACATCTAAAAGATCTAATAGAAACCGCGGAGTTCCCATGTCTAGACCCAACATTTAATATTATTTTTAATTTTTCTAAAATAAGTTAAAAATTGCCAATTTTCATCATAGAGGTATGCTCTGCTGAGAGAAAGCGAAGAGTTCTGGCCTAGGATTTAATTGTGATGCCTAGACATCTAAAAGATCTAATAGAAACCGCGGAGTTCCCATGTCTAGACCCAACATTTAATATTTTTTTGAATTTTTCTAAAATAAGTTAAAAAATTGCCAATTTTCATCATAGAGGTATGCTCTGCTGAGAGAAAGCGAAGAGTTCTGGCCTAGGATTTAATTGTGATGCCTAGACATCTAAAAGATCTAATAGAAACCGCGGAGTTCCCATGTCTAGACCCAACATTTAATATTATTTTTAATTTTCCTAAAATAAGTTAAAAAATTGCCAATTTTCATCAAAGAGGTATGCTCTGCTGAGAGAAAGCGAAGAGTTCTGGCCTAGGATTTAATTGTGATGCCTAGACATCTAAAAGATCTAATAGAAACCGCGGAGTTCCCATGTCTAGACCCAACATTTAATATTATTTTGAATTTTTCTAAAATAAGTGAAAAAATTGCCAATTTTCATCATAGAGGTATGCTCTGCTGAGAGAAAGCGAAGAGTTCTGGTCTAGGATTTAATTGTGTTGCCTAGACATCTAATAGATCTAATAGGAACCGCGGAGTTCCCATGTCTGTACAATATGGTTTTTTTTCATTTAGTAAAATCTTTCAAAAATGCTCATTATTTCGTTTTCTCTCACTCTTCTTTATTTTTTTTTGATAATTAAACCTTTTTATTTTTGGATTTAAATGATAGGGAACTGTTACAATTGAAATGATTGTTTTAATGAGACCTTATTTATCGAAATCGGTAAGAAATGCTCTGCTGTGATCGGGAAGCTGGCAGAGCATTTTACAATTTTAAAAAAATTATTTTCTGGACTAAAAAGTCCAGAACTCTTTCTAAAAACTATCAGGAACTATAGAACTATTGAGTGTGCTGCCAGAACTCTAATTTTTTTGTGCTCTGCTGGTAAGTGCTCTGCTAACTTCACAGACACGTTACAAACTAGGTAGAGAGACATATTCTCAGTAGAGACACAGTTCCTACTTAGAATATCACTTCGTAACTGAACCATAAATTTAACTCGGAAACATACACGCGTACTGACCATCTGTAAAAGATAAGAATGTTTCTTTGACGACCGACTCAGGCCGCTTTATCTATCTCCATTGGTTTTGGCATTTGTTACAAAAATGATTAATTTAAAAAAAAGTTTCTTTACCCGAACTCAGTTATATCCAAAGTCGCCATAAATATATATATATAGCTATGAAGTTTCTACTAAAGTATTCTTTAAATAATTAATAAAACTAATTCAAAGGGGTTAGATTTAACGTCGCTATAGCTAACTGGTCGTTACAACCAAGGTCGTAATAAATGAAATCCACTGTATTTTAAAAATGTATAAATATAATCTAAATACTACGCGACTACAGCTTCTGGCCTAGTCTGATAAATGCCTTGTCTAATAACCCGAAATTTTTATAATCACTTATGTATTAAATATAATATAATTAATTTAATAATAATATTGTATTAGAAATGAATATTATGATATTTTACGGAGATTTATTATTTTCAAAGAAGCGTTCACGTGTGAACGCTGCTGTTGAGTGCATAGAGATGCTTTAAGAAAACCCATGATTAACCAAAAAAGGTAATTCAATGTCTACCAGTAATGATTTCGCAGAAGCACAGATGTGGGCGTAAAAAGTGGTTCTTCATGTGCGCCGGCTTGATTTAAGCGCTAACAAAAAATAATGTATCGTCAATTTTTGCAACTGAATTTTCGTTCGAATGCTTAACCATCAAGATATCTTTAGCTTCCACACTTTTAAGGTACTTGCTGATTTGCAACAAACACAAGTGCAATGATCTAAATTATTAATCGTTTAGTTTCATATTGTCAATTGAAGTATGGTGTAGTGGTTGCAGTTATTTACCTTGAAAACCAAAAACTTGGCGATTGAAAAGATTGGCGGAAAGTTTTTTGCCAGTTCTTTTTTCTCTACGCCCTTGATTTGGGAACTAGTACTAAATTTAGATCTTATTTTTTTTAATTATTGACGCTCATAAGCGTATTTGCTGATATGATAAAAAATAATTTTTATTTCATTTAAAATGTGTTTCATCAATAAATTAATGTATAATGTTCTAATCATATAAAAAAACATGTTGTTATATTCTCCAGATTATTATGTCTACCCTAAGCAATTTTTAACATGATTTAGATTTAAAAAAAACTATATAATATAACAATCACTATACTAGAAAATAATCTTTTTCAGGCGGTGAGCTTTTTTCACAACGATCGGTAGGGTACACTCTCCATGTCACAGCGTTGTACGAGCAGGTTGTGGTCTCGTGGTCTAGGCCTGGGCAGCCGCAGAGAGAGGTCGGTATCGCGAAGGAGACACTGGATAATCGCTGGCATTGGGTAGCATTGAAATATCGGCACAACCCACCGGCTTTGTTGCTCGAAGTTGATAGGGAATCGCAGGTATTTTGGGACTATTATAAATTGTATGTATATTAGTACTCGTTTCTTGGCATGATTGGAGTAATGAAGTTAATTGTAAGTGTCATTCTAAATATAGGTATGTATTTTTTTGTATAAAATACTTTTAAAGATTTATGTACACTTTAGTAAAAGATATTAATACAATATTTTGAAATAATTAATTAAAATCATTTACATAAAAAGTTTTAGTTTTTGCCTAGTGGCGAATCTCATCTTTGAGGTCATAAGTTCGAATCCCAGTTGTGCACCAATTAACTTTCTGATTATGTGCGCATCGCAAGCGAAACAGTTGCTCGTACAGTGTAAAAAATCATCGTGAGGAAACCGGAATGCCTTAGATCCGTAAAAGCGACGGCGTGTGTCAGGCACAGAAGGCACCTACTTGCCTAATAGAATTATAACAAATGATCACAATAAAACAAAAATATTAAGTTTAGTTTTTGAGTTATCTATTTATCAACACATTTATTTAGAATATTTTTGTAAAAAACCCAAGTCACTAACTCTTTATTCTTCCTAGGTGATATCAAACGTGAGGTGGAATGGTGAATTGCTATCAGCCGGCGCCCTAGAAGCCAACGGTGCAGTGGTATTAGTGGGTAACGTGTTCAGCGGATGCCTTCACGAGGGCCCACAACTGGAGTTCCATGCTGCGTATCTTCTGCAGACCAATGTGCGGTTTGGGCATTGTCCACTAACGACTGATGAATGTAAGTAAATTTTCTATTGTTTTGCAAGTGAGCAGTGTTGGCCTATTGGCTTGAGCGTGCGACTTTCTACCTGAGGTCGTAGGTTCGATCCCCGGCTGTGCACAAATAGACTTTCTTTCTATGTGCGCATTTAACATTTGCTCGAACGGTGAAGGAAAACATCGTGAGGAAAAGAGGTTGTAGCGCCACTGATTTTTTTTTGCATGGTCACGGGTTGGCCGTATATTATTATAGTGACAATGGAAGGTTTTCTAACATAATTTAAAATAATTTTAATGGAATAATAGTATGATATTATTTTGAAAGTTTTTTCAGTGGAGTTTCTAAGAGATAGGAGATAGAAAGGATGTGTTACGGATACCGCCAAAAGACCATTGCTATAACGAGCCGTGTTTGAGACACGGGGTTTGTATATCTAGACACGATAGGTAACTTAATTTATGTAAAAAGTTATATGTTTTAAAGTTTTTTTTAAAAACAATTTTTTTTAAATTTCCGTACTATAGCATTATACTCTTCGTAAATTTTAGATACAAATGGCCATATTTGTAATTTTTTGAAGTATATTTCAAGCAATCGTCAAATTTGTGCTTCGGAAACATGTATATGTCACCGGAATGTAACAAACTCCGCAAGTTTATAAACTTCCTAGGACATTTATAAACTTTCGTAGGATTATAAACGAGAGATAATTTGTATTACATATTACGACCACATTTTCTTTCTTGCCGAACTCACGCGTAATAAGTAAGCGATAACCAAACGGCATGTGCGCTCTGATTGGTTGAATTAGTCACTAACCTAACCGTTTAGAATCTTACGAATGGATATCCGTTAGTTTATAAATTTACCACGTGACGTCGCAAGTTGATAAATTTGCGAAAATGTGGGCGTAATATGTAATACATTTTATCTCTCGTTTAGAATCCTACGAACTTGCGGATCTTCCGGTGTCATATATAGTTAAAATATGGGTACAATAAAGCGGGCCATAGATGCAACATGCGGTTTGCTCAGGAACTGCTCGAGCGGTCCGTGTATTGCGAATATGAATTTAGTATGGAAACTGCAGATCGCCGTGCGGCGACCGCGTAGAGCAGTCGGTATCGGCTGCAACATGCGGTCCGTTTTTGGCCCGCTTAAGATTTTACCAAAAATACCTGTCACTACCGATCTTTTTAGATATGTATCTAATAGCTCAATTGGATAAAATTATAGAGGAATTATATAAAAATTAAAAGTCTCTTTTTTTCAGATATGAATGTCATTGCTCAGCTCGATACACCGGCAACAATTGTGAAGTGGACGCGGGTGATCCCTGTGCGTCCGCGCCTTGTCACCATGGAGGAACGTGTGTGGAAGACACTCGGGGGGACTACACGTGTCTATGTCCTAAACATTATCACGGTATGCTCTGAAATGATAAATAAAAAAGAAGGGTAAATAAATAGTTCATCATGATCTTACCTTTAATTTGATTCCAGTAAATTTTTATTTGAAAACCCTTAAAGGCTATTATTATTACATATATATTATAATACAATTATGTAAGTGATTTTTAATAAATTACCAGAAAACCTTTTGCTATCCATTAATCTTTTCTAAATACATTTAAAATCACAGTATATTACCCCGGCGAAGAGTTGAACTATTAAGCTGCGAGAGTACGCGGTATTAGATACAGTAAAACCTGATTTCTCAGAGACCCAACCAAAAAGTAAGATATGGAAAATAAAAAGTACTTCTTATTATTATGTATTTTACATTATACCTTAATATAAATTATATTAATAGTGTAATTATAATTACGTTATTTAAATTAACTTGATCGGTTTGACAGATTTTGATGCATTAACATTTACATGATTTTCATCACCTCACACTTTAAAATCGATTTTCGTTTAGTTTTTGTAATTTTAATTGTATTGTTTAATATTTATATTATCTCTTCGTGTACGTCATGTTTGCCTATAAGAGACATTAAAAATTGTATTTTTTTGTTCTTTTACCGCATCAGTGTGCCGAGCGTTGGCAAGCTTTTATCAATAAAAAATCATAAATTTACTTTTGCGATTTCGCTTTTATTCAAAGAAGCTATATAGCGTCTTAAATCATTAAGAGCTGGTAAATCTTGGGCGTTTGACAATATCGGAGTTGACTCGCCGTCGTTTTCATAATTATTACTTAGGGCCTCTTTTGTGATTTACATTCTCAATAAGATCTTCAAGTCATTCAATTTCATACGGACATTGTCATCAATGGAAGAATGTTCAGTAGAACCCCGCAGTGTCACAGGTTCCTCTGCTTTCGACACAGGTATTTTTTTTAATTTGTACGTGTTGTTGGCGTATTAAACGGTATAAAGAATCGTATTAAGCGTTACAAAATATATGAAAACGTCTCAAGTTGCAGAGTCTGGCTGGCATTAAGCGGGTTCCACTGTACTTATAATACAAACAGTACTCATTGAATGATTAAGAATTCACACTTCATTGAACAAATACCGTGTGTTTTAAGAATAGTTATGTGTTTCGTGTTGAAATAAATATAGATTTTCGTATACCCAGGTATGTACTGTGAACTGGAAGACTCGTTAGACCCGCAGTGCGTGGCGGGACCATGTCGTAACAACGGATCGTGTAGTGTGCCAACTGGAGCTGATATGGTCCGCGAAGAGTGTCGTCTGCCAGCGCGCACCCCGGTCACCCCCGTGCGCCGCCCCTTTTCAGCCGTGGACCCTGGCTCGGAGGGTGAGTCCGCGGCAAAGCGCCCATGCGCATCCTTTAATACTAAAAGTGCGTCGGGCTTCCCTGGCGACCCTCGGCTGGCGCCAGGTCGCCGCCTCGATATGGGAGGGCCATCGGCTCAGCCGCCTGGCGCCGTTCCACCGCCCGCCGCACCATCTGATATTGATATTGACGCCTCACTACCGGGACCCGCTGCCGCTCCCGTCAGTACAGGCGCAGCCCCCTAGAGCTCCTGCGGCCCCAAAGAGGTCGGATTACCCACCGATAGTCATAGAGTGCCTCCCCAACTACGTACATCATTTGGGGAGGATTAGTCAGCTGTTGGGACGGACGGCCAACGCCAGGGCGTACGGAAAGGGATACCGCATATGCCCCGAATCTGCTGACGAATACCGGGTGGTCCAGCGGTACCTCTCGGACCTGGAGAGGGAGGTCCGCCGGGTCTCCTGGTTCTCCTACTCACTACCAGCGGAACAGGACCTCAAGGTGGCGATTCGGGGTATACCCGTCACCACCGACCCCGAGGAGCTGGCCCAGGCGCTACGGGACCTCGGATACGAGCCCGACTATATCCGCCCAATCCGGGCCAGGAAAGGCCAACCCGGCTGCATTTTTCTTGCAGTCATGCGGCGCACTCCGGACATCACCCCTGCCATATACAACATTACCGAGCTGTTGTATATGACGGGGGTCACCATTGAAGCCTGGCGCGGGAAAAAGGGTCCCGCGCAATGCCATCGCTGCCAGTCTTTCAGGCACTCGTCGTTGAATTGTCATAGGCGAATGGCGTGCGTTCGCTGCGCGGGGGAGCATCGCGCGGCTGACTGCACCAGGCCGAGGGAAGTGCCGGCGACCTGCGCCAACTGCGGGGGGCCTCACCCCGCATGCCACTCGTCTTGCCCGGTGCGCAAGGAGGAGGAGCAGAATCGGCGCGCGGGCACGTTTGCCCGAACGGCGCTGTCTCGACCCTTGCGCCAACAACGCCGGAACGTTCAAATCCATGCTCAACATCCGCCCATGGGCGCGCCGCCCGCGGTCGCCCCCTTGGCGTCCGGCACCGCGCCTGCAGTCGACGAAGAGGGCTTCGTCACGGTGCGACGCCGCACGAGACGAGGTGGCCGCGGGCGTGGCCCCGCCGCACCCTCGCTTGCCGCGCAGGAGGCGAGCCGCGCTGCCGCACTTCATGCAGTTTCCGCGGACGTCGCCAACCGCGCCGCCACCGCAGCCACCGCCACACTACCTACACCAGCACCTAGAACGGCACCGCCTCCGCGCTCGCGCACCAGGTCCCGCGCGCGCCGACCCCAAATGGAGCAGGCACTGGCGGCGATCGCCAACATTCTCCAGGCTGTGCAAGCCGGGGATAACCCAGCCCCGCTCTTCAAGAGAGCGGCATCGGCCCTCAAGGGCCCTACCCGAGGTCGCAGCCGCAGATAATGGGGGGCCTTCGGCTCCTGCATTGGAACGCGTGCGGCCTCGCCAACAAGGCCACCTATCTTAAACATCTTTTAAACTCTCAGGATATCGACGTCGCCCTAATTAACGAGACGCACCTCTCCGAAACAGCCAGGTTGCGCATCCCGGGGTATGAAAGCTATCGCCAACACCACGTCGACGCCATCGGTCGCGCCTACCGTGGCCTAGCAGTCATGGTCAGGCGCCGCATACCACACCGGTTGCTGCCCGACGTGGTTGTCACCGAGTGCTCTGCCCTGGGTGTGGAGCTGCAGCTCGCGGGTCGCCCCACAGGCTTTTTTGCAGTCTACGCCCCACCTAACGATCGATACGCTTCCGCCGATGTCCGCGCGCTCCTCGCCGCCGCCCATCCGTGCGTCATCGCCGGCGACTGGAACGCGAAGCACCCGGCGTGGAATTCGCGGATAGCGAACTCGCGGGGCAAACGCCTGCTGCACGACGCTGAGACGCTGGATTTTTCAGTGTCCGGCCCGGACGTGCCGACCCATTATCCTGACATTGCCTACCACCGAGCCGATACGCTAGACATCGTTGTCCACCAGGGAGTGACGTGCCAGATGACCCAGGACGTGATCGTCGACGAGTTGCTGTCCGATCACCTCCCTGTGGTTGTCACCCTGCTGGACACCGATCCAAGTTTAACGCCCCTGACACCGCTTCGCCGTAGGTGCATTGACTGGAGGGTTTTCGAGTGAGCCCTCGACGACGCACCACAGCCGCGTCCGCCCGAAACCCCCGCGTCGATTGACGATTTTTCTATTAGAGTCACGTCGATGTTCCAGGATGCACTCCGAGCGGCCACCACCGAGCGCCCTCTGCCGGCGACATACTCGCAGTTGCCGCCTCGTTTGCTGGCGCTCATTCGCCGCAAACGCGCACTGCGGAGACCCCTAGGGTTATTGCGCGGAAGAAGGCTGATTTGGAGCTGATAGCTATGTATGCGATTGTCTACCAGGTAATTCTTTTAAACACGTATTCTGATTTACACACACATTTGTTTAAGAAATATATAATTATAATTTAAAAAAATGCGTCCTTATATTATTCCATTTAGATAGATACGTTTAATTTCCTAAGTTTTTTTTGCTTCTATAATAATTAGTAATTTAGAAAAAAATCATGATTATTTACGGAAACTTCACATACTCTATCGTGTTTATTTTAAGCACAGTAATAGTAATATTATACGGAGCAGTGTTGGCCTAGTGGCTTCAGCGTGCGACCCTTATATCTGAGGTCGTAGGTTCGATCCCCGGCGTGCACCAATGGACTTTCTTTCTATGTGCGCATTTAACATTTGCCCGAACGGTGAAGGAAAACATCGTGAGGAAACCGACATACATGTCTTAGACACAAAAAGTCGACGGCCTGTGTCAGGCACTGGAGGCTGATCACCTACTTGCCTATTAGATTTTAAAATGATCATGAAACAGATTCAGAAATCTGAGGCCAAGACCTAAAGAGGTTGTAGCGCCACTGATTATTATTATAATAATAATTTAAAATCACAACGTACGGGAAAAATAATTGAATTTGTAAATATACTTATATGTATAAAAAAAAGGGTGCGTGTACTTATGTACGCGCGTAAGAAGTTATACTTCTTGGCATTATTAAAAATAGTTTGGCTTTGTTCCACCTCCAGTTTTTGATGTTTCACAGCGATAAGATGACAACTCTTTTTTTGTATTCAATTTAGTGCACTTACACTGATTCATCAATAGTTTTTTGTCTCTTGTCCTTATATTTGCTAGATTAAATCAGAAAAATTACATGTTTTGATTAAACAATGTGGTAATTTTTTTAATCAAAACATTACTCGATAATAATAATACATACGGATAGTTAACCTCAATTGTATTGAAGCACTTAGGAAGGTTGATGAGCACAGTTTTTTCACAAATATTAATTAGTATTGGTTTAAATATTCAATTTAAATCACTTCTGATTATAATTCAAAAAGCATTGCTAAATTTCTTTGAAAAAATAATTAAAACTCCTTTATTTGTTTAAAAGGTAAATGACAAATGTCATTATGGTCTTTCAAAATTCTTGGCATACGAACTTCACGCATATTCTATTTCTTTTTACTTGTAGATTGTCTTATTCCTATCTCGCTCGCGCACGCTATAATCACACTCCTATTTTTGTGTCACGGGTGCGCGCGCATTATAAAATTTCACTCTCATAAATTTTTCATAACGCGCCTAAAGAAGTATAACTTCAAAAATGATTTCAGGTTACACCGGCCCCCGATGTGACATAAACATAAACGAATGTCTAGAAGAGAAATCTGTATGCGGGCATGGAGTGTGTTACGACACATACGGATCATTTGTGTGTGCCTGTTTACCCGGGTATACGGGTGACCGGTGTCAAAAGGTAATCAACGAGTGGTTTTTATAATATATTTTGAGTGTGTAGATCGATTCGATTTTGCCAAAGTCGACACGTTGTTTATTTTATTTATTTATTTTAAAAAACTACAATATATAACATTATTTTTAAATCGAAACTATATTAGAGACAGATTGCCTGTGTGTAAGTGAAACCTGTGTTAAAATCGAATTGATTAAGTTACATTAAGGAGAATGTAAGTGCGTGCTCCTATTTCACCATGCTTACTGCTGATAGAGGACAAACCTTTGTTTTTATATTTTAATATTAATTAACTATTAACTACTTAAGATGTCATGTGAAACATAGTGTAATGGTCCTTACAAACGTTAAAACAAAAAGACTTGGCGATTAAATAGAGTGGCGGAGAGTTTATTGCCAGTTCTTCTCTTCCGTTCTACGTCCTTGATTTGAGAACTGGTAGTAAATGTAAAATTAGAAGCATTGTATATGTATTTCTTTTTGACGTTCATAAGTGTACATTGTCTTACCTAAATGAATAAATGATTTTTGATTTGATTTGATTTTTGGACATATACAACTTTTTGTGTCTTCAAAAAGTACAAAATTGTGACAAATTCCTTTTGAAATAAAGTTATATGCTCATCAATTTGTTATGGTCCAGAGTGTGTTTCATAAACTTGTTTTGAGTATTATTATTTAAAGCAATAATTAAATATTTCTCTCTACGTCGTATCGTGTATATATGTTAAAATGCCATGCATAGCGTACGGGAGTCATAGCCTAGATACGTTTCTGACGCTCACAATATTTTTTAATCTTAATTTCAATCTTCTAAAATAATATTAATTTTCCAGATGTCAGCGTGCGCGTCCGGACCCTGTGGCGTCGGTGGTGCATGTGTAGAAGAAAACAACGGGGCCGGTTTCCGTTGCGTATGCGCACGTGGTCTCGCGCCGCCATTGTGTGTGCCGCAAGCTCCGCTCCTTCTAAGCTCGTCACACCCGTGTCCGCTTGTGAAGAGGTCTCGTGCCCGCCTAGGTCACATTGTAGACAAAGTAAATATAGATTTACTATCTAGATTATTTATTTATTTTATAATTTTTATTATGAGTATTTCTTTTATATATTTATATATATTTTATTTTCTTTCAAATAAAAACACCGAGACCAATAGAGGGTTTGTTTGCAGAATGATTTTTAGCAACACTAGCTTTTAGGCTTAAATTCTCACTTTTAAATTCATTTAATAAAATTGTTTTTAATTGTAACAGGTGTGACTGGAATGGTAGCGGGAATAGTACTCACCAAGCAAGTTCTTTGTGTCTGCGATATTGGATATTATGGTAAGTTCAATTATTACATACATACAAAATTATATCTGGATAAATTAATTTATAATTAATAATTTTGAATTGTATTATATAAATGTATTAAATTTAAATTAATATACAGAATGCAAAGTGTCGTTGTGATGAACAAGAATATTTTATAGAACACTAGCGGACCTGTTGTCCTGTACAAACGTCTAACTTTAAGAAACATAATAATTGTAATTGTAAATCATTCTTGAATATACTTTGACACACAAACAATTTCATCTCAATCGGTCCAGCCCTTTATATATATATATATATATATATAAATATTTAGTTGATTAGGATTGTGTGTCCTCTATACTTTATTTTTACTTTTTAATTGATTGATTTTATTATTGCCCTTGTATTGTTCTTGTGGCTGTGCCTGATGCAAGACAAGAACTCATTGAGTATTTTTTACATTTCGTAAATTTAAATTATAATTTTCACATTAGTGTTGTCAATTTAACGTTTTAATATTTAAATCTATACGCAATCTAAAAAAAGCGAAGTTAAAGGTTAAACTATTTATATGCAGGTGCTCCAGGTGTATCACCAAACTGCAGCACTCTGGAACTACTTGCCCGCCGCCTTATTGAGGTAAGATCGAAAACAATTAAATATAAATTAATCTACTGGATATCTCCTAATAACGTTTTATATGAAATTTAATGAATAACATAAAAGTTGGTTTTATTTAGTTGAGAGGTGACAATGTAAAACGAACGTGTTTTTTTTACTGTTGACCAATCACAATCGAACGAAAAATCGTTTCGTTTAAAATGATCTGATTGTTAATTAAATCTGGATTCATTTTTGAATTTGGAACGAAATGTAATAAAAAACTAGTGTCAAGACTAAAAGGGGTTTGAAAGGTTTGGAAGTAATAATATTAGTTTAAGAAGTCTGGTGATGGACTATTCAAACTTTACTGTTTATGATTGGGAATATTTCGAATCTATATTGTAGTTCTTAATAGAATTAACCTATGGGAATTTGGTGGCTACTATTGTACTAAGATAACTAAAAACTAAAATCTATAATCTCGAATACACGCTATTGTACAAATTATATCCTAATATAGAGTCCAGCACAAGGCAGCGTTCACGAAGCTTATAGGCAACACATTTGCACTTTTTCTTTTGGTACCAACTTTTAACAATAAGGTATTATGTGTGATCAATAGATCTCGATGGTTTTTGATGTTGTGACTGGTAACAACTGCTGCTTTCAATTCCAATATTTTACTAACGGACGGTAAACAAATTTAATTTTGTATTCAGACCGTTAGTAAAATATACGGATGAAATGTTAATGTATTTTTGTGTGTGCTTTTGAAGATGTCAATAGTGGCATCGTTGTGCTTTCCAACGGATCTCGTCACGACTCAGTTTTGTTGTGTATGTGTCGTTTGCTTATGTTTCTAAATGTGATTTAGTTTAGTAAGGTAATTAATTTTAATGGAATGTACGATTTTTTTTATAAAGCAACCAAATAGTTATAAAATTACTTGTCATGATAACCTACTCGTATTTTCAGAGTAAATATCCAATTTGCATGTTAGATTATTTCGCATAACACGGAATGACTTTTTCTACAACACTTTTCTTCATAAGTTATTAATTCAACAGTATTAACTTTATTTAAAATAGCATTATTAATCGAATATGTATGGTTTTTGGACTCAGTTGCCGCACTTAGACGCTCAATAGGTCCGTTGTGCGTAATCAAATATGTGTTGTAGGTATGTACTGCGAGGTGGGGCCTTCGGGCAAAGCTTTATCGGAACCAAAAGTCGAGCGTTGCGCCTCCGTCCCTTGCCTCCATTCTACGGGTTGCCGCGATACGGTAAGTTGATTTGATATCTGCTTAATTAATACTTCTGCATTTATTACTCATATACCAATGTAATATAATATGGAGTTGTAATCCACACAGGCATGATTTAGAAATTATTATTCAAACACACCCAGAAATAACTGTTTTACGTCGCATTAAATATTAAAATAAAACGTAAATACTCTATATATACCTATAAATATTTTTAAATCTTGTAAACAGACTATTTGAAGGAGAAATGCTTGTGAAAGTAAATATTTAATACACATTTTGACCAAAATTGGCTTCACTCAATATAATATTTGAGTTATTGAGACTATTAATCAGACCTTTGCGATAGTAAATTGCCTATTCATATACCTTACGTTCGTTAGTACAATTCTTACGTAAAATAATTTTCTATAGCCAAACGGATTCCGTTGCGATTGTGAGGCGGGTTGGACGGGGGCACGATGTGAAGTAAATATAACCCCTTCACTTGCTGGTGATTGTGGTCGGGGATGCGCCAATGGGGGGGCATGTCGCGGCACTGAGTGCGATTGTCGTCCAGGTTTTGGGGGTCCGTAGTGTGACCTTGGACTGTAGGGCTTCGCCTTGTCCGCATCGGCAGGTAAGTTTTTATGATTATTTTGAGTTAACAATACATTATTGTATTACTTATCGCTCACTTTCTTTAGTGTGTAACTTTCGTTCAAATCAATCAATCAAAGTCAGGTTATATATAACAAACTATTAAATAACTTGTTTGCAACAATAAATATAGGTCTGTCTTTGCCAATGATATCTACAATACCAGGCCAAATAGAGCATGGAAAGTCAAGTATGTCCACCATAAGTAAAACTAAGGACTTAACATATCTGAAACAATAATTAATATTTGTATATAGAATAATTAAATAACAATTGTTTTCAATTGAAAATAAAATAAATGATTTACTTTATAGATTGGAGGAGCCTTTCATATTCTACCGACTGGACAGTAACATCCAATGCAATATTGTATTCCTTTAGAAAATGACATCTTTGACATTCAATTGTTCGAAGTTCTTCAACTGAACGACCCTTAAATATTTCACTTGGAATATATCCAGGGATAGCAGGATCATAACAATGAAGTAATGCACCACAACCACCGCAGCCAACATTGCTAATAGTGCTTGTTAGGTCCGGTGTTCCATACTGTTTGGTCCAGTCATTTTGTAATTCATCTTCATCCTCACAAAGCTTAGTATCATCAAAGTGTTCATAGTTGGTCATCCATTTGCTAATGTTTGAGTGATCATATTCCTTAGTTTCATCAATAGGTACATCTTTTAGTAAGACTCTTTCCTCTAGTATGTCAACTGGAGTAGTTTTTGCAAATGGTTATTGAAATACAGAGGTCTGATCAGATGGATCCTCCACAACTTTTTCTTGCAATAATTTGTCACTGTTAACATAATATTTTAAAGATATATGTAAAGGTTGTAAAGTTTTATTTCTAAATTCTTCTATCTGATAAAGTATCAGATAAATTTCAAATTTATGCTTCTATCTGATAAATTTCAAATTTATGCTTAAACAAAATCAGTCTTCCCGCCTCTTCAAATACTTTGTCAAACTATGAAAACAAAGGCACGCTGGTTTCCTCACGATTTTATCCTTCACCGTCCGTCCGTCGATTAGTGTTGTTTTGAATATTTGAAATGTTAATAATATTAAAATATTATTAACACACGCCTAAGCGAATAAATAAATAAATAAAAATATTTTTTACAGGTAAAAATTGCGAAATCGACATCGAAGAGTGCGAAAGTAATCCATGCAAATACGATGGCATATGTCTCGAACGAAGTAATACAAGTTTGTACCAGACGCCCGATTCTCCACCCGTGCTAGTGGGTCCGCAGCCGCATATGCTATTACCACAAGTGTTTTATCAGCCGTTCTCACTCGAAAATGCTGGAGGGTAAGTTAAACTAATAACTAGTCCCCTTATCTCACAAATACACCGATAACCAAGTTCAGGGTTTAAAAAAATCTCAAAATTTAAACAGCCTATGTTGACCTCATGAACAACAAAATGGCGAATTTATATTATTACTAGCTGACCGGGCAAACGTCGTTTTTCCATGTACATATATAATTTATAATAAAAAATAGGGGTTGATCGTAGAGGGGCGAAAATTAGGGGTTGTATGTATTTTTTAATGCTGTATCATAAGTATCATAAAAAAATTATCTAAAAATTAAAGAAACATATTTAGGGGTGGACTACCCTTAACATTTAGGGGTATGAAAAATAGATGTCTGATTCTCAGACATACCCAATATGGACACAAAATTTCATGAGAATCGGTCAAGCCGTTTCGGTGGAGTTTAACTACAAACACCGCGACACGAGAATTTTATATATTAGATTATTCGTTATTATATAAATAGATTATTCAATACTAATAGTACTTTGTTTTCAACCTTATTCTCATAAAGTCGGTTAAAAAAATGCTAAAGTTTCTATACAAACTCATATCACAATTCAAGATCTTACTTCAACATTTTTTCTTGGTTCACATAAATTATTCTATTATTAAATCAGGGTTATTTATTTCAAATAATATGTTATAAATACCTATATAACTAATCAATCTTATATGTGTAAATGCATTTATAAAATTGAATTTTGCGGGTAGTATGGCAAAACGCAGAATGAAAAGGAATAAAAATATATATAT